AGAGGGTGAAGAGAAAATCTTTGCTGTCGCGAATGCCGCTGCGGACCGCTATGCAAAATATGGTCTGAATATGCACCCAGCTCCAAGGCCAGACTGCAGCAGTGAGTTGAATCTCGCTGGTCAGCGAGCGGGGTACTTCATCAAGCTTGCTGCGCAGGTGCTCCCTCTTTTTGAGAATGAGGTGCGGTGGGCAAGGCCCCATGTCTTCCGCGCGCCGAGATCGCGGCGACAAGTGTCGTGGCACGATTGGCAAACTAATGACCTCGGATTACAGTGCCGGAAGTGTTTCCGAGTTGCTGAAGGCAGTCATGATTCCGTCCCGATCGATGGCTGCCCAGGGCTGCCGCCATTCCTCCGAGGTCTGCTCCGCGACCCCATGGGCCATAAGCTCGTCGCCATGGCTGGACCGCCCTCGAAAGCTGGTGGTTCGGTGTCGTGTCGGCGCTCGTCCAAGGAGCAGATCCTCTGCATGCGCTGTGGGGGCTGGTCTCAGGGCCGCGGTTTAAAGCTCGGGCAGCAGCGCGGGGTCCCGTCACGTAAAGGGTTGGAGATTTTGGCTGAGTTCAGGAAGGGAAACTGCCCGAACCCACGCGTTCGGGCTGCCATTGATCGCGTGGTTCCGCTTTCAAGGCTTGGCCTATCCGCCGACCCTCCTGAGCCCGAGCCTCCAACTGTTGTCAGGACCTCACACTCGGGCTCCCTGCCGGCCCCCTCTTATGAGCAGCGCGTGTCAGCTCTCGTAGAAAGGATTCGCGTAAAGGCACAGGCTAAGGCAGCTAGTTCCCTATCGTGAGTCGCCTTTAGTCCAGTTTTGATGTATTAAGCTTTGCTTAATACTTAGTGCGGTGCACTCCCCTGCGGGTCTTTTCATTCATTCATTCATTCCTGCTGTCGTCGTCGTCGTTGCGCGGCGGGTGCCGCGGAACAAAACAAATCCCCTGATGGTGGGGCGCCAGTCCTTCAAGAAGGCTGCCGAAAAATCATCAGGTACCCCCTATTGGGGGGGTCAAGACTTATCGCAGTTACGGTGGGAGCGTTTGTTGAGGAATGTGCCTTGGAGGATTCCTTAGCCGATGAGGACGGCGGCGATGTCCATGGCTTGTCCACGATCGGATATACTCAGGGCCCCGGGTGATGGGGGCCGCTCAGTGAGTGGGCCCCGGAGCCAGCCAGAATCATTAAACCAGGTCTGTCGTAGTTGGCTTTTCTTCAGGTGACGGCAGCGCCGGTCAGATTAATGGGGCGGGGGGGTCCCCCAGTGCACATCACGTTTTCAGGCACCATTAACCCCAGTTTTGCCAACGCCTGCAGAACCTGTAAAAGCGTAAGCTTTGAGCGATCGGCTGCTCTTCGATGGCCAGGCCGTCCCATGTGGACCGATTCTGGGCAGGTGGCGGCGGCTATCAACCATGAACGCCCGCGGCGGGCCCCTCGCCGCGCCGACGCGACACGAACCGACACATCGTGGCGGGAAACGGGTCCTGAGCAGGGCTGGACCTAAACGGTGTTTTCGGTGATTTCGTCTGCCGTTTTTGTTTCGATTGCGTTTTGCGGCAAAGGCGGATTTGAGACAACAGCGAGGGACAACGAAAGCAAAACGAAAACGAATTACTCCGACGGAAGGACCCCACATGAGAATCTTCTGGACGTATCTGGGAAAAGCCCCCACCGTCGTCCTCGTGGTTGGTGAGGCGTCCTGGCTTGTCTCTTCTGCGTATATTTCGAAACGAAAAACGCAGTTTAGCTTCAGCCCTGGTCCTGAGGGAATCGGGCCCTGAGGGGCGTCGCCGTGGTCGGCTTCCCGGGGCCCTCCACGGGCTCCAGGACCGTCGGAAAAACGATCAGGAGGGGAGCAAAAACACACATGCACAATTCATCCCCGATTCCCCAGGACATATGGGGAAGTATGGGAAGTGGGGGGGGAAGACGAAAACCCAGCACATATGTGGAAACACATTGGTAGTCCTGTGATTTTTGTGTGTGTGTGCGTACTCGTGCGTTCCAGGGCCCCTTCAAACGATTCAGGAAGAATAGCTGGTCCTGGGGGAAGACCCCCCAGGGTCCGGGACCCGCTTCCCTCAAGGCCAGCTTCCCCCGTGCTGCAGTGATCTTAAGTCGGGTTTGTCCCTCTACGGGAGGACTATTCAAACATAGTAAAAAATGATCGGGGGACTATTGTTGGTCTATGTTTGGGCATTCTTGGGGCATTTTTGGACAATGCGCCGTCTGTGCCGTGACCAGGAAGGGCAAGTCTTGGGCGATTGGGCCAGGAGCCAGGCATTTCCGATCAATGCTGGCGTTCGCCAAGGGTGCGTGCTTAGCCCGGTTTTTTTCACAGCTGTCTTGGAGTGGGCCATGCGTGCGTGGAGAGCTCGCATTTCGCATCTTGGATCTGATTTGGGCGACGGTTTGAGGCCGCTCATAGACTTTACGCTTTGCCGATGACATCTTTTCGTTTGCCAAATCAGCGGGCGAAGCCAAATTGCAGCTGGGCGCGCTGGTCGACGAATTTGCCAAAGTTGGGTTGGTTCCGAATGCGGCCAAGTCGGAGGTGATGACAACAGAGGCGCAACCTCCACAAGAAATTACCACGCGGGCCGGCGCAACAATCCAAGTCCTCCCCCGGAGTACCGCCCACAAGTGGTTGGGATGCACGCTGTCCGTGGGTGGTTCTGGAACGCACAATTTGGACGTGGAGTATCATCTGACATCTGCAAGCAAGCTTTCTCTGCAAACAGGGACATTCTATGCGACCGGAATGTTTCTCTCGCTGCCCGGCCTGAGTTTTTCAACCGCGTCGTGACGTCAGTGGCGTGTTTCGGAGCTGGTGTCTGGAAGCCGCACAGCGATTCGCTGCACGGGGTAGACGTTGCACTCCGGCGTTTGATGCGGCAGGTCGTTGGCCCGCCTGCAGGCGTGGATTGGTCCCAACCGCGGCATGAGACTCTGCACTTATGGCACGAAAAGCTTAGCCAAGCATTGGCGGAACATGGTCTTCGCACATGGTCGAGAGAGTCCATGAAAAAGTATTGGGATATGGCAGCATACGTTGCTGGTTTACCTCCTGATCGGTGGGAGCAGAGAGCCTTGCATTGGACGCCGTCGGGATCACGCTCACAGGGTCGTCCTCGTCTGTCATGGGACGCGAAGCTGTTCTCGTTCTGCCGGGCGAACCACATCGGACCGTGGCAAGAAGCTGCACAATATTACTCAGCATGGGTGGAAATGACAGAAGATGCCCTGGACTTCTGCACGTCGACGTGAGCAGGCGCGATGCTTCCTTTGCGCACCAGGCTTGAATAGTAACTGGCATTTGATTTTCTCCCTCGTTCCCTATATGGGCCCGCCCTTGTGCGAGCGGGGTGACTTGACTTGACTTGGGGCATTTTTGGACTATGTTTTGGCATTCTTGGGGCAAAATAGTCCCCCTGTAGGGGGACGTGCCCGACTTAACAGTAATCAGAACATGCATGAACATAAATGTTCTGAGCTTCGCGCGGATTCTCTTGGATCCTTGTTGGACCCTCTCCCTGGCACGCGGAGCTCGCCAGGGGCGGCGCCAGAGGCGATGCCAGGGGGGCCGCCCCAGATTCAAGAAATCTGCGCGGAGGTCCGAATATTCTGTTTATGCCGTTTCATTTTCTGCGATGTGTTCATTCGTGTCGCGTCGATGCTGCGACGGACCCATCGCGGGCGTTCAAGGTTGATTGCCGCCAGTTGCCAAGAATCGTTCAATGTGGAACGGTCTGGCGATCGAAACGCCGCCGATCATTCAAGGTTACACGATCCACACGGTTGCAGGAGCCAACCACACGAATTTGCCGTTTGGGAGCCCAGGCCAAGACACATCATACGTTTTGTTATGGTATCCTTGGTTTATTTCGTTTGTTCATGGATTGAAGTTTGCATCGGTCGCGCAGAAACCGCAGCTTGCAGGGTACCCTGAGTGTCTTGACGCTGAGATCCGTTGCGCGAGCCATCAAGTCACCGCCTGGCCCAGGGTACCCTAAGCTTCTTCGCTGGCGGTCGCGTATTAAGAAACCCAGCCCTGGCCTAAGACACTTCAGGTGATCTTTAGGGTTGGGCTTCTTGCGATGGGTTTCTTGTGGTCTGGTCTTGACTGCACTCGCCTTCCCTCTCTGGCTCCTGTGCCCTACAGCCAAAATTGGTAGTAAGGTTGCAAGGGCCTTGGACGCCAATGTCGAAGTTCTTCGAGCGGGGCTGGCCTTCGCAAGTGGTTGAGGATGGGCCGAAGAGGCTAGGATGCAAGGGTAGTCTTGGGAAGGCCATCGGTTTCGATTGTACCTTCTCCGTTGATGGGCCGGCTTTCCACCACCACTGCCGTAGGTAGGAGAGGGAGGAGGAGGATGAAGAGGAGGAGGAGGAGGTGTCGGAGGCCGAGGAGGAGGACGAGGCCGAGGAGGAGGACTTCCCCATCCTCCCCTCTCCCCCCTCCTACCTGGGTAGGGGTGGTGGAAAATGGGCCCATCATCCGGATAACAAACGCGTCATGGACGTCAATGTTTGGAGCTCCGCGCGGATTTCTCAGATCTTGGTTCGAGCCCCTCGCCGGCGCCGCTGTCACGCTCCGCGCGCCAGGGAGGGGGGTCGAACGCAGATCCAAGAAATCCGCGCGGACGTCCGAGAGTATTAGTTCATGCCGTTCTGTGTTCCTCAAATCATGAACGAGGAAGAGGAGGAGGAGGAAAAGGAGGAGGAGGAGGAGGAGGAGGAGGACGAGGAGGAGGTAGTGGTGGAAGAGGCGAGGAGGCAGGAGTACCCATGGGAAAACTACCCCTCCCTATCGTCGCTTTCGACTCGACAGTGCCGTCTTCTTTATACATGCTCCGCGTGCGGATCGTGTATTAAACATGCAGGGATTTAGTATTAAAAACAACGACGAGTTCGTGCATAAATCTATGCATACATTAGTCATGTGTTAACATTCCTATATTTGTAAACCTCCCATGTATTAAAAACTGCCCTGCGCCCTCTCCGAGGCCTCAACCAGGAGGTGATCATGCAGGGCCCCATCGGCTCCGTGCTCACGGCGCAGCAGATGCTGTGGCAGCAGCTCGGGCGCGCCCCCAGGGGGGGGCGCGCGCCCTCGGGGCGGGAGCGGGGCCTTGCGAGGGCACAGACGGCGATCCGGGACGGTCAGGACGTTTGGGGCCTCCCAGGGGGGGGGGGGGGGGGGGCGCATTTCCTCCTCCTCCTCCTCCTCCTACAGATTCCTCCTCCTCCTCCTCCTCCTCCTCCTCCTCCTCCTCCTCCTCCATCTTCCTCCTCCATCTTCCTCCTCCTCCTCCTCCCTCTCCCTCCTCCTCCCTCTCCCTCTTCCTCCCTCCTCCCCCCCTTCCGCTTATTCTTCTTCTTCGTCCCTCTTCCTCCTCATCCATCTTCCTCCTCCCCCGAGGCTGCGGGATTTCAGGGGCAGCGCTCGGGGTTTTCGGACATTCGCGGTTCGAGTTTTGAGAGTTCCGACATTTTCGTTCTCGGCGATTGTCCAGCCTCGGGATGCCTTCCATCGGCTGCGCCTCGCCGAAGGGCCTTCGGGGGTGCGCGGGTCGTCAGGAACGGCCACCAGGGGGGGGGGGCTGCAGAGGTCATTTTGATTCCTCCGACTCGATTCGAATCGATTTTGTTCGGTCCCGATCCCGACGCGATTCGATTGTGGAGTCCGACCCGGGCTTCCGTGTCCCGATGGAGACCGTGTTGGCCTGCCGATTTCCGCCGATCTCAGGCGCAGCGTTCTGGGGGGGGGACTGGCTCAAGGGCCTCCCAGACATGCTCGCGTCGTGAGAAATCGCGGCGGGAGGTTTGTGGCCGTTTTCGACCTCCGCGGGCCTTCGACGGGCTCAGGGGCTGTCGAACAGCGGTCGGGGATGGAGCACCGGCTGGGCGGAAAGGGTCCGGGGAGGCTGCCAAGAGGGGCCCAGAGCAAGAAGCACGGTCAAGGTTCAGGAGGAGAACAAACACACAGTCACAATTATTCGTCGATTCCCCAGAAAATATAGGAAAATATGGGCAGTGGGGGGAAGACAGAAACCCAGAACTGGCCCAGAACGTATGGAAAAATATGGGGAATCCTTTTATTTGTGTGTATTTATTTGTGTGTCCCAGGGCCCCTTCAAAGGTGCCGCACAAACGGTCAATTCGTGTTGGGGAGGGGCTCGCCGCTCCGTCTGCTTGTTCCTCCCCCGCTCCTCGTGTGCCCAGGCGCCTCTGGGGCCCAAGAACCGGTCTCGCTCATGAGGTTGCGCTCCTTGCGGTGGTAGCTTGCTATTTGAAAGGGGGCGACGCCCATCTTTGATCCCAGGTGCTCCCGCACACGTCGATGTACGAGGATTGCGTCAGAGGATCTGCAAACGAAGCGGGGTCGGGGTGCGAAGCGAAGCGAGGAGAAGGGCGTTGGCGATTGCCATGGATTGAGTGAACACGAGGGGTTGAGGGATTGACAAGGACGACGACGAAGAGGATGGCGAGGAGAAAGGATGAGGGTGAATGGATGACGGGGAGCATGGTTGGAGAAAGATCATGAGGAGGAACGGCGAACGGGTAAGTCCTGTTTCGACAAGGCTCGCGGGGGTCAGGAGGGGGAGGAGGAGGAGGAGGAGGAGGAGGAGGAGGAGGAGGAGGAGGAGGATGACGAGGAGGAGGAGGAGGAGGAAAAGGTGGAGAAAGAAGAGGATGGCGAGGATGGCGAGGAGGAGAAGGAGGAGGAGGAGGAGGGCGAGGACGACGACGAGAGGGGGACGACGACGAGCACGAGGAGGAACACGACGGACGACGAGGAGGAGCAGGGCGAGGAGGACGACGAGGAGAAACCCCGCGCCGCCGCCAGGCAGAACGGCGAGGAGGTGCCCGACGACGCCCAAATGGTCTATGTGGCGCCCAAGGGCCGAGCGGCGGCCCCAGCGGCCGCCTCGCCGCAACTCGTCCTCCTCCTCCTCCTCTTCCTCTTCCTCCTCCCCCTCCTCCATCTTCCTCCTCCTCCTCCATCTTCCTCGTCCTCCGCCCCCGGGCGGGCAGCCGGTTGGTATGGGCGGCACCACCCGGCGTCCGGGGAAATTGAAGCCCGCTTATTAGTCGTGGCCTGTATGGGGGCTGCGCCACTGCCGTGCGTGGGCGGGTGGATTCGGCAATGGGGGCACCGACCCCGGTCTTCGGGCCTAAACGGTAAACCCGTCTCGGCTGCGGCCGTGTCGGGTCCCCTCCATTGTCTTGGCCCGGCGACTCCCCCGGTCGCGCCGGGGTGTGGAGGGGGGGCCTGGCTTCGGCCAGGCTCATGGGGAGTCCTGCTCTGTCCCCCTTGGGCAAGGGGACTGGGGGGAGCAGGCCAGGGCACCCGCCCAAAGACTCGCACCAGGTGCCCCGCCTGGTGGCGAGGGGTGTCCTGTGTCCCCGGCCAGTGCCTGGCGCGACTGGCGGGTGGCAGGGGGCCCCCCTCCCCTCGGGGGGGGGTCGGTCCTGGAGGCGTTGGCTCTGAGTCCCGCTCCCCTCCTAGGCCGTTTGAGGTCACCGCGCGTGCCCTGGCAGTGTTGGTTTTTAATCTTTATCACAACGTGATGGCGGAAATCCTGGAAATCTTTCTCCTCCTCCTCCTCCTCCTCCTCCTCCTCCTCCTCCTCCTCCCCCTTCCTCCTCCTCCTCCATCCTCCTCCTCCTCCTCCTCCTCCTCCTCCTCCATATTCCTCCTCCTCCTCCTCCTCCATCTTCCTCCTCCTCCGCCTCCTCCCTCTTCCTCTTCCTCCTCCGCCTCCCTCGGCCTCTTCCTCCCCCCCCCCTTCCTCTTCTTTTTCGTCCCTCTTCCTCCTCATCCATCTTCCTCCTCCCCCGAGGCTGCGGGGTCTCAGGGGCAGCGCTCGGGGTTTTTGGACGTTCGCGCTTCGAGTTTTGAGATTTCCGACATTTTCGTTGGTTCTCGGCGATTGTCCAGCTTCGGGATGCCTTCCATCGGTTGCGCCTCGCCGAAGGGCCTTCGGGGGTGCGTGGGTCGCCCCGAACGGCCACCAGGGGGGGGGGGTGCAGAGGTCATTCTGATTCCTCCGATTCGATCCGATTCGATTTTGATCGGTCCCGATCCCAACGCGAATCGACTGTGGAGTCCGACCCGGGCTTCCGTGCCCCGATGGAGACCGTGCTGGCCTGCCGATTTCCGCAGATCTCAGACGCAGCGTTCTGGGGGGGGGGACTGGCTCAAGGGCCCCCCAGACATGCTCGCATCGTGAGAAATCGCGGCGGGAGGTTTGTGGCCGTTTTCGACCTCCGCGGGCCTTCGACGGGCCCATGAGCTCGAAGAAAGTTACGGGATGGAACACTGGCCGGGCGGCAAGGTTCGAGACGTCTGGGGCCTCCCAGATGGGGTCCAAGTAGATGGGGTCGATGCGGCTCGACGTGGAGCCCGATTTTTTCCACGCCGACATCGCCGCCGATGCATCGGCGATGCGGCGCGATCTGCCGACCTCATCCACTTGGACCCAATCTGGGAGGCCTCTAGCGAAGGGGGGGGGCTGGCTCGTGAAGCGGGCTCTCGTTCGAGGTTCTCGGCCGTTCGAGGGTCAAGGTCATCGCACGCTTTCGTGGGAGGTTTTTTGGACGTTCGAGGTTTCGAGTTTTTCGTTGGAGGTTCTCGGCCGTTCGAGGTTCGAGGTCATCGCACGCTGTCGTTGGAGGCTTTCGGACGCTCGAGCTTCGAGGTTTCAGTTGGCTGCGGGGGCAGCGGGGGCCTGTGAGGGGGGGGCGGGCGAGCTGGCCTGCTTCAGTCGAAGGAAGCCAAGTGGAAGGGTGGGGGTGTTCCGGAACGCTCTCAGAAAGCCGCGGCGCCAGACACATCCTCCAGATTCGAGGGATCTCGGAAATTCCCGATGTATCTTCACCCGAGTTTTCCTTGTCGTCGTTTTGTGGTGTGTATGTGTGTGTGCGAAAACTCCTGACACACAGCTGGTTTCAGCCCCACCGCCTGGCGCCGGTCCGCGATACAGTGGCGCCTCACGACGCCTGGAGGCGCTGGGAGCACCAGCCGCGTGAGGTGATTCGCTAACCCTCCCTCACCCCTACCCTTAAGTTGGGCTCGCCCCTCTACAGGGGGAATTTTCCCAAATAGTCAAACAATAGTCTGGGGACGATTTGTTGCATATGTTTTGAAAATTTCGGGGGCATTTAGTGACTATGTTTTATCTTTCGTCCAAAATCCCCCTGCAGGAGGACAGGCCCGACCAAACCCTGCCCATTCGTCCGAGCCGGTCTTCGTCCCTTCCACTCTTCCACCCTGCTGCCCCCTGTCTGTGACCCTGTCCTCTATCCCTGCCTGTGTCCCCGTCCCTTATCTCTCCTCCCTCGCTCTGCCTCTCCCCATCCTCCCTCGAAGAAGACAATACATACTGCATAACATGAGCTCTCGGAGGTCCGCGAGGACCGCCCACTCTCCAGGGGGAGAAAAGAAAACTCTGCATACCATCAACTTTCGGTGGTCCGCGCGGAATTCTCGGATCGGCGCTGGACTCCCTTCCCAAGGGGGGCGCTCTCGAGGACGCGAAGTCATTTGCGCTTCGCGGCTCGTGTCCGGTTCTTTTCCACCCTCCTCTTCTGCCCTCGGGGGCGGCGCGAGGGCGCGAAGTTCTTCGCGTGTCGTGCAGCGCGAAGCGCGAAGTTCGGCGCCCCCGGGACGCGCTGCCAGGGGCTTGGCATCGCTCGGACGTGTGCATTTTTGCCTCGGCGAGGACCACGGAGGCGCATCCTGGATGACGTAGCGAAGAAAGCACGCACGAAATCTAAAAAAGAAACACAGGGAAAGGACGCCCGAAGCGAAAAAAACATGCACGATTTTTTTTAAATCCCAACAAAAAGCAGGGAATGGCCGTCCGGGCGATGGCCAGGGGGGGGTCCGCCGCCGATCCACGGCGCAGGCGCGCGGACCTCCGACGGTTTGCGCGTCTCGCCTCGCCGCGCCCGCCCGTTTGGTTGCCTGGGGTGGACAGAGCCCCCGACAGTGACGCGTCGATTAGTGGACTGTGCG